ACCCCGCTGCTCCCAGCCTGCAGCTGTCTTCAACTCAGGGCTGGGCATGTTGTCGTTCATTTGTACGGCAACTTTCGGTTTTCCCCTCTGTCAAGTGCTTTTCCCAGTCTCCCTGTGAATCCATGCCAATCCCTTAAACGCGTGGTGTCCCTGGCAAGGACTTCTGCAGGCTCAGTTCCTGCTGTGTGAGGAACAACCAGGTTTTTTTGCTTTGCATCTGGTTCCTATCAGCCTCGTTTGATGCCCCTTAGGTCTTGTACTGGGAGCGACAGTGACGAATCAGTCCCTGCCCGTTCTCCCTGTCTGTTGGTGATTTTGTGGACCCGTGCCTCCTGAATCACCTCTTTTCTGGACTGAAGAGCATTCTTCAGGGGGCCTTTGTTCAGAAACTGTTCTGTACGTTCAGTCCTTCCTAGTGCTCCTCTCTGCCCTTTTCCAGTTCTGCAATTTTGTTTCCTGAAGTGAGGGAACCAGGTCCACAGAGAGTATTCACAGTGTGGGTGCATCTTGGATTTACCCAGTGGTGTAATAATCTTCTGCCCTGTGGTCCCAATAATTCCTACTGTAGGATTTGCTTTTTTTGAGCGCTACCGAGTGTTGAGCTGATGTCTGTGTGGAACTGTATCTTGAAGATGTTACTCCTGTGTGGTGGTAGTCAGCCCGGAGCCCCTTCTTTTAAATGTGAGGCCAATTTGTCTCCCACAAGCATCACTTAAGATTCATGGAGACTAAAAATAGCTTTTGATTGCCTGGCCTCCCAAGCAGTGTCCAGAACACTGTGCTAGTCTAAGTTCCCAGACAGGTTAGAAACAACCCTCGTGCTCTGTGAATGACTCACCTACGGGAGGAATTTGGCACAAGTTGGTAGCTTAAATACTGTTCTTCAGATTTATTCTAGGTACACTTCTCTACTGTTACCTAAAATAATTTTACTCTTGATTTGTAACCCCAAGCCCTCTAGTAAAGATAAATAAATATTTTTTTTCTCTTAAAAACTAATCAAGGAATGTGCTTTTCTGTTGATTTTATTGGGGCAGGGGGTTGGACACAGCTGAGGAGGGCAGTGATACCTCTTTTTTTTTTTTTTTTTTTTTTTAATACAATCGCTGCTGGCTATTCTGGAGTGGGTCATCAGTTCATGTCGAAGGTGTTTCACTGCAGAAAAATATCTTGGGTTTCGGTGAAGGAAAAGAGGCATTGGGATGACCTTGGAACATGAAGGCTCCAGCGCTTGTGTCAAGTATTGCTGAAACCTCTTTAATGTGCAACAGCAGCTGGGTGCATACACAGCCCCTACTACGGTGTAGAAGAAAAGCCCGTGCTCTCTTTACCTCAGGTTAGGCATCAACTGGGTGAAAGTTTTGAAGGTAGCAGGAGCTCATGTTTGCCTGTCATTTATGTGATTTTAAGTCTTTCTTTCTTTTTTTGTTTTTTTTTTTTCTTCCAATTAATTATCTGGCCTAGGAAGAAAATTAGTTGTTTTGTCACAGTTCCTTCTGAAGGAGGGAAGACTCTTTCATTCCTACTACAAGGAAGCACACTTAGCATTACCTGAAGGAAAAGAGAAGATTCTTATAAGTAGGAAACTGTGGTTCATGTCAAGATAAACATTTAAACTGAAACCTAAGAGACTGTACCTGGAAATGTCAAGCAAGTGGCCTTAATTTAGGAATTTTCACTGGATATTAACCTTACCTTTTTCCCTTTCCTTTTAAGATACATTTTAGTTCCTAGGTCAGATAATT